TTGCTACGGCACGAAAAGTGCAAAAACGCATAATCGCACCGGCCCGCCTGGTGCGTTCCAGCCGGGGTTGTGCGTTTTTGCTGTGCAGCGTTATAGCGCTGTTACAGCGAACAAAAACGCATATTGTCGGGAGTCATCTGTGTATGTGTGTGCTCAGAAGCGAGTGAACTTTGTCACTCACTTTCATCTCAGTAACCAGGAAAGCTGGGAGGCTGAAATTTTGGTATTTGTTCCTACCCCGTTTGTCATCCTCCGGTTTTAAAATTTTCGCTCATACACGCATATACTTCGCGTACGGACCTTCGAAAAAAATATGCAGATTTCTTTGGCGGGAGACGACTTCGTGAACCAAGCAAGTTACAGAACTAAAAATTTGCAGGGATATTCTCTGTGCATGTACGAGCTAAGGATTTTAAAGTCAGCCGTCGTGCACGCTTGTGCAGCGCCCACGATCAGGTCAAAGTTTGTAAGTACCGACTTGCACTTGCGTCACGACGTAGGGCACTTCAAAGATATTTGTAGCGAAGCGGCTATTTCGTTTACCGGATAAGGTACGAGGTTGAAACTTCGCTGGGTTATTCTACTTTCATGCTTGCCTTAATTCTGCTTGGAGGTGAAATTTCCTGCAGGAGGTTATGAGGAATATTCATCTTTACTGCAAACTCAGAAACGAGTGCATTTTTCAGCAAACGACTACCGTCATCCTCACGCAACATCTAGTTCATTTACGCACCTGGATTTTTTGACGAACGACCGCCCCAGCCGTATTTCCACTTTTCAATGAAGAACTGAGATTTTTGCATTTTCAAAAATTTGCTTTTCTCATTTTTTCAAAAAGCCGGCATTTATTGGAAAAACGATGGGGCTTAATGCAAAAAACTGATAATCATGCACCTGGAGGTCTAAGCGACCCTATAATGCAATATCTTTATCCCAACCGACGCCTTCTCTCTTGCATGTCGAAAGCGGCCATAGCGCGACCAATATGAGCACAAATGTTAGGCTACAGCGCAGGGGTCATCTTGCTATTAGCGATCTGCGAATTTAGTACAAAAGCACATGATCGCACCGGCAAGCCTGGTGCATTCCAACCTGGGCTATTGTTCTTTTTGCAGTTAGCACCTTCTATTTTTGATAAAGCT